GAAGACTTTGGACTTGAACTTTGAGCAATCTCAGAACTATTAAAAGACTTTGGAGACTCTTGGGAATGGATTAAATGTATTTTGCATTGTCAGATGAGTGTGAGCTTCTGGGGGCCAGGGCAGAATGTCATGGTTTAGATGTGAGGTGCCCCCAAAAAGTTCACATGTGAGACAATGCAAGAAGGTTTAGAAAAGAAATAATTGGGTTACGAGAGCCTTAACCCAATCAGTGAATTAATCCCCTTATAGGGATTAATTGAGTGGTAACTGAAGGCAGGTGGGGTGTGGCTAGAGGAGATAGGGCTCTGGGGGAATGGCTTTAGGGTATATATTTGTATCTGGCAATTGAAGACCTTGTTGCCTCCAAGAGAACCCGAGACTCCCACATACCTATAGAGTAGAGGTTGTCATCAAGCCCTTGCAGAGAAAGAGCCACCACCATGCTCTGCCAAGAGCAGGCATAGCACAAAAGATCACAACCCAGCTGGCCAGAAGAGCAGCTTCTGAAATATGTGTCAACTTGTGGGGGAGGGTGACAAGCCAAGTCAGGGCCGGGGCCAGTGGGCCAACATCTTTGAAACAGGGGCACCAGAAACTTGGGCAAAAGTATGGAAGTGAGCAGCTGATAAGGCCACAGTTACTGCCACCACCTCCTGGTATCTATCCTCAGGCAGACATAGGCAGTAGAAACTGAGAAAGTGAGGATTGGGGGGGCAGGTGGCCAACACAGGATGGATTTTATTAGAAAAAAAGAAAACACCCAAATATGTGCCTGCTCTGTTGACCTGGAATATCCTGTGCCAGAGCACGGGTGAGGTTCCTGAGAACAGTTGGTGAGCAGAGACAGGATGGGATGGGCACTGCTTCTCAGGTGACATTAGGGCTCTGAGGAGGACACTAACAGAGCTACATCTCCTGGACTGTTGTCAAATAGTAAAGAACAGACTTTGTTGCACATTTCATTCTTAGGAAATGGGATTACCCTGTAGAGGTTCTTGATTTGCAGAAAACACTGCGTGTCAATGCAATGACAAAGTACAGGCAGAAACGTCACCTCTGAGACTTGGCGGGGGGGGGGGGGGTCCAGTGGTTGGGCTTTTCAAGGGGCCACTCTGGAACCTGGAACCCTTGGGCTGACTGGACCATGTCTGGATTGGTTACTGTATGGTAGACGGACTGGCAATAGTTTTTTGTTTGTTTGTTTGTTTGTTTGTTTGTTTTTTAATGTGTCTTTCGTAATAAAAAGATACCTAGGACACCCACAGAACCCAGGCAGGCCCAGGACAGTCCCGCTGACACCCGCAGAGCCTCGCACTGGGTCTGGAGACAACCAACAGCCACAGTGCTACATGCCACAAGCTGCATCTCTGAACATATCACCCAAAGCCACCGGCCAGCCTCCCTCACCTGACCAGACACTCCATCGCAGAAAGCAGCTGCCTCCATCTTGGGACACCTTCATTGCCACCTTTAGTTGGGGCAACTCCAGCTTGGAACACCAGCTGGGCAGATACCAATAGTCCTCGATTCCCCCCTCCCCCTGGCAGCTGCTAAACCAGCACAGTGACTGCCCAATACAAAACAGCTTTCCAAGAGAGATGTGCAGCCCCCAGAGTGCAACCCACAAGACCTCTAGAGAGAAAGGTCCCCAGTTAGGAAGGAAAGAGGGAGAGGGTGAGTGAGATACAGTTTAGAGAATAAATTAGAAACCAAGAACTGTGAGGGCTACAGGCAATATAAGGAGATAAGAGCAGGCACCCACATCACACAAGGGGGCCCCAGAGGACATCCTTGGGGTGCAGTCTCCCATTGGGGACTGGCTGATGCCATACCCCACTTCCAGGTGTCCTGCACCCAAGACCAACCCTCCCTCCCTGGTATCCTTCACCATCCTGAGGGTGGAGACACCAGCAAACAACAGACAACCCCACCTATTAGATGAGAAGGGAAGCATGAAAGATACTGATCTCCAACCAAAACAATCCTTGCTTCTTTCAGTTTCTTCAAGATTTTTTTTTTCTTTTTTCTCCCTCTCTATTCTCCCACCCTCACATTCCCAACATTTGTGAAACCAAATACTTTGCACGAATTAGGATACTGAGGACGGGATGTCTGCATAGCATATTACAGTTGTGTTGAATATTCTTCTATTTTTATATTTTTTATTTTTCTTAATGTTTATGTATGTTTGTTTTATGTACTCTATTGTCATCCCACTTACTTGTCTCCCCAAAATCACATTCTCTCTCTTCTCCTGTTACTAACCATCTTGTTTAGATTCCTCTTTCACACTTTCTAAGAACTAATAACTATATCCTCACCTCCTACCCCTTCAACATCTTATCCTACACCTCACCCCCTGTTCTTTGTCCACCATCAGAAATTGTAAACCCTTTTGCAAACCTATTGTTTATACTGTAGATAATAATTGAACTCACCATTTCTATATATTGTGACAAAACTGTAAACAGCTTAATAGCAACTCTATGGTTTAAGGTTGTATATTGTTCATATTGGGATCTGTTAACATTGTTCTTCCCCTTAAGGAGAAGTATTGGAACCCTGCAGGGGCACTATAAACCTACAGGGTAAAAATAGCAATGTCGCAGATCCGCAGAGCTAAAAGGGAAGACACACAAGCAACATTTTTAAAAAGGGAAAAAAAGTACCCAAAACAAATCAAGATACTACATTATCAGAATCCACAGCCAGCACAACAGAAGAAGTGACAGAGAAGGAGTTCACAATGTACTTAATTAAAATGTTCTGTGAATTAAAGGATGATATAAGAGAACAAATATAGGCAGCAAAAGATAATTTCAATAAACAGATACATAAGCAAATACAGGAAGCAAAAAATTACTTCAATAGGGAGATAGAGGTTCAGAAAAAAAAACAGAAATCCTTGAAATGAAAGAAACAATGAACCAATTAAAAGCTCAACAGAAAGCATCACCAACAGATTAGACCAGTTGGAAGACAGGACCTCAGACAGACAATGAAGACAAAATATATAATCTTGAAAAGTATGTAGATCACACAGTGAAGATGGTAAGAATCCATGAGCAGAACATTTAAGAAATATGGGATAACATAAAAAGACCAAATTTAAGAGTTATTGGGATAGAGGAAGGCATAGAGTTCCAAACCAAAGGAATGAACAATTTACTCAATGAAATACTATAAGAAAATTGTCCAAACACAAAGAATGAATTGGAAAACCAAATATAAGAGGCTTACAGGATACCAAATGTACAAAATCACAACAGACCCACACCAAGGCACATTATAATGAAAATGCCTAACACACAGAATAAGGAGAGAATCTTAAAAGTCATGAGAGAAAGGAATCAGATGACATATAGGGGGAAACCAATTGGGATATCTGCAGATTTTTCAACCCAGACCCTGAAAGAGAAGATCCTGGAACAACATATACTAAACTCTGAAAGAAAATGGATGTCAACCAATAATCTTATATCCAGCATAATTAAGCTTTACATTTGATGATGAAATAAAAACTTTCCATGATAAACAAAAGTTAAAAGAATTTACAGCTAGAAAGCCTGCACTACAGAACATCCTCAGCAAAATATTCCATGAGGAGGAAATGAAAAACAACAATGAAAATCAGCAGAGGGAGGTATTACACTAAAGGAAAAACTAATCAAAGGAGAAACCAAGTCAAGTTAAATACCAAAAATGTCTGGGAATACAAATCATGCCTCAATAATAACCCTGAATGTTAATAGACTAAACTCACCAATCAAAAGACATAGACTTACAGATTGGATTGAAAAAAAATCAATCAATATGCTGCCTCCAAGAGGTTTATCTCAGAGGAAAAGACATCCTCAGACTGAAGGTGAAAGGTTGGGAAAAAAAATATACCACTCACATGGACTGCAGAAACAAGCAGGAATCTCCATTCTCACATCAAATAAAGTAGACTTCAAACTAAAGTTAATCAAAAGAGATTAAGGACATTTCATACTGCTCAAGAAAACCATACATCAAAAAGGCATAACAATTATAAATATATATGTCCCAAACAATGGAGCATCTAAATTCATCAAACTCTTTTCAAGTTCAAGAGTCAAATAGACAGACCACAACACAATAATTCTGGGTGACTTTACCACACCTCTTTCAGCACTGGAGAGATCTTCCAAATAAAAGTTGAACAAAGAAAACTATAGAACTCAATAATATAATCAATAACAGTCTTAACTGACATATATAGAATATTTCATCCTTCAACAAGCAAATATACTTTCTTCTCAGCAACACATGGGTCCTTCTCTAAAATAGACCATATACTATGCCACAAGGCAAAAAAGTAGAGATGCCACCCTGCATTCTATCAAATCATAATGGAATGAAATTAGAAATCAATGATAAAATAAAAAATAAAAACTACTCCAACACCTGGAGATTAAATAATATGTGATTGAATGAACAATAGATTGCAAAAGACATAAAAGAAGAGATTAAAAAATTCTTAGAGGTAAATGAGAACACTATGCAATATATCAAAATCTCTGGGACACTATGAAGGCAGTACTAAAAGGAAAGTTCATTGCATAGAGTTCATTTCTTAAAAGAAGAAAAAGTTAACAAATAAATGGCTTAACATTGCATCTCAAAGCCTACAAAAAGAAGAACAAATCAACACCAAAAGCAGTATAAGACAGGAAATAATTAAAATTAGAGCTGAAATCAATGAAATTTAAACAAAAGAAATAATTTTAAAAATTGACAGAACAAAAAGTTGGTTCTTTGAAAAAATAAATAAAATTAATAAACCCTTAGACATGCTAACAAAGAGAAGGAGAGAGAAAACTCAAATTACTAACATCTGTGATGAAAAAAATTATATCACAACAGACACTACAGAAATACAGAAGATAATCAGAAATTATTTTGAACATTTGAACTCCAATAAAATTCTTATAAAGAATTATGTTCCATTCCGTAAGCAAGATGAGCTGAATGCTTACCTCCCTTCAGAGCTCTGCAAAAAGAATATTCATCATTGGCTCCTCGGCAAATAACTTCTTTGCGCTTTGGCAAATTCATGGAGTTGACAGATATATAGAGATTGAAATATAATTGTTTTAAATCTCTTCCTTAAAAAGAAAAAATTCCATTAGCCCCTTAAATAAGAAATTCTCCTATACAGAACAGCATTTTTTTTTCATACTTAGCATGTGCCCTAGGCTTTTCCTACATTATTTCATTTCATCATCACAACTATCCATGAGGTGGGTGTTATTATTGCCCTCAGGTTCTGCAAACAGAAGTTCCAAGAGGGCAACTTTGTGGTCAAGTAGTATGTTCCATGGTAAGGGCTATGTATGTCTTGTCTAAAAGTAGAGAAACCTTCATAACTTGATATTGGAAACTATCAAAGACATAAAATTTTCAGTTCTAGTCTCTTCTGCTAGAAAATTCAAAGGAAAGGAAGTGAAGACAATTAACTCATGCCAACTTTTTAGTATTTTTGATGAAACATTTCTTGCAGAATAAATTTGAATTTTTTAATTAAAAATTAAATATATGGCCTTTAAACCTTCTTCATGATCTCTCTATTACCAGTTAATGTGGAAAATTCCAGTAAATGATACATTTGCCTGAACTCTTACAAAGTATTCAACCAGTCCAAATGGAAAAGATGTACAATCTTTTATCTAAGGAAAACAATTACTGTAACTACTACCTCACTGAAAATGTTTTTCTAATAAGGTCATGAATCATTGTAGAATATATAAAGAACTAAAGGGCTGTAGTTGTAGCTCAGTGGTAGAGTGCTTGCCTCACATGCATGAGGCACTGGGTTTGATCCTCAGTACCACATAAAAATAAATAAATAAAATAAAGATATTGTGTCCATCTACAACTAAAAACATATTTTTTTAAAAAAAGAACTCAACATGACACCAAAAAAAAAACCAAATAATTCAATAAATGGGCAATTGATGGACACTTTTCTAAAGAAGTACAAATGGTCAACAATAATAAGATGTTCAACATCTCTAGTTCTCAGGGAAATGCAAATCAAAACTATACTGAGATTTCATCTCACTCCAGTTAGACCAGAAATCATCAAGAATACAAATAACAACAAATATCAGAAGGAGGGTAGTTGGCAGGTAGCCTAGAGCTCAGTGTAGCACTCACCCATAGACCAAGCTCTTACAGGATGCTCCTGGAACAATGAAGTACCACAAAGTCCCTCAAACCAGGCAAGTCCTGTCTGTCATGGGTCTCTTGTGGTAAGCAGCCTTTGCTCCAGGGCTCCTCACTGACCTGGCTAAGAGGATCTCAAGGATGCATTTTTGTTGTGATGATCATCTTATCTAATTCTCTTTCCTTCTCTTTCACTTTTCATTTTTGTTGTTTATACTTTGGTGTGTGTGTGTGTGTGTGTGTGTGTGTGTGTGTGTTGGTTTTTGGTTTTTTGAGACAGGGTCCCACTATATTGCCCAGGCTAGTTTCAAATTTTGGGGGCTCAAGAGATCCTCCTGCCTCACCCTCTTGAGTAGCTGGGACCACAGACACACACCGCAAGCCTAGCCTCTTTCACTTCTCAAAGGTATCAGAACTGAACTCCAATCTGAATCCTCTTCATGACTTCTGTGGCCTCCTCTCCCCTTTATTGTTCACAGGCATTTCCCACAATAAAGCTCTAGAACGAGAGCCTTACTGCTATCATTTCACTTATCATGTTATGTTATCTGCATAGCCATATGTCCTATTGCACTGAGATTCTTGAAGATCAAAAGAATGCCCTATCAATAAATTTACAGTCTACATAATACTTGAAATATACCAAGTATTTACAAAGTATCTTTCCTGATCCTGTTGTGTATGTGTGTGTGATGCTAGGGTTCAAACCCATGGACTCATATATGACAGGCAAATGCTCTACCACTGACCTAAACCACCCAGCCCTAAGTATTTTTTAGTGAAAAAGTGAATGCAAAGACAAGAATATCAAAATACAAATGAAACAATTAGTTGCAGGGAAATTAAACACTGAGAACTGAAATACTCAGAAATTAAAACACAATTATTGCCAGGTATGGTGGTGCAGGTCTGTAATCCCAGCAATTCAGGAGGCTGAGGCAGGAGGAACACAAGTTCAAGGCCAGCCTCAGCAATATAGTGAGGCTCTAAGCAACTTAGCAAGACTAACCAAGAAGAATGTTTCAAAATTTTTTTTAAAAAAGGGCTGGGACATGGATCAGTGTTTGAGCTCCCTGGGTTCAATCCCTGGTACTCAAACAAAAAACCACAACTGTCTATCATTCTGAGTTCTATTTCCATTTTTATCCCTATGTCCTTAGGTAATCCTCTACCCATGAGCGCAAACTGGCCCAGTGACTTGCTTCTAACCAACAAAGTACAGCAAAGATGACAAGTATCATTCTACAAATACACTACGTTAGACTGTCACTTCCTCTTTGTTATCTGACTGTCCCTCTGGCTGGCTTTGATGAAGCAAGAACTTAATTTGAAAAAACCCGTGTGGCAAGGAACTGAGGGATAGCCAACAGCCAATATTCAGAAACTATACTGTCAACAAGCACATGAGCTTAGAAGCGGTTCCTTCCCTGGGTAGCCCACAGAAGAGACTACAGCCTTGGTCAATGCCAAGACTGTAGCCTTGTTGGAGACTCTGAAGTTAGCACAGGTAAGCCATATCCAGACTACTGACCTACTATGAGATTATAAGATAATAGATGTGTACTGTTTTAAGCTACTAAGATTGTGATAATTTGCTATATAACAATATATAATTAGTACAAGTATATTTGGAACCCAGGGCTGCTTTAATTAAAAAAAAATAATGAAAAATAAATGCAAAGACAAGACTATTATATACAAATAGAACGATTAGATTCAGGAAAATTAAAACACAACTGTCTATCATTCATTTCTTGGATGCTAGAGGACTAAAATTAGGAGGAGGGGAGGGTGTTTATCAAGTTTCTTTGGGACCCTGTCCCAAAATAAAAAATGAAAAGGACTGCCCTTTTTATTTTTTTATTTTGAGACAAGTTCTCAGTAAGTTGCTTAGGGTCTCACTAAGTTGCTGAGGCTGGCCCCAAACTTGTAGTCCCTCCTGCCTCAGCCTCCTGAGTTGCTGCGATTACATGCATGAGCCACTGAGCCCAGCTATCATTGATATATCTTAAATAATTAGCTGATCTACAGAAACAAAAAAAAATTGTACTTACTTGGAATGTAGAAAATATGCAAAAATCCTTCAGTACCTTTCAATGATATACAGGGTTCAGGTCTAACTAAAATAGGAAATTTAATGTCATCTAAACAGAAAAAAGGATAATGTCAATAAGTTATTATATATCACTTCTAGTAAATACATATATTCTATCATCCCCCCAAAGATACCTTTTGTATTAAAATTATACAAGGACATCAGCAACATGATAGAGTAGAAAGCCCCTTGATTTACCACCACAAACACAACAATTCATAGACAAACTCCATCTGTTAAAAATCATAAACTAGGGTTGGAGTTGTGGCTCAGTGATGAAGCACATGCCTAGCATGTGTGAGGCACTGGGTTCGCTTCTCAGCACCACATACAAATAAATAAGATAAAGGTACATTGACAACTAAAATAATAATAATAATACTAAAGAAAAAAGGTAAATGACCAATACTCTTAGGATGTTGTACTTCCAACATATTTACATACTGGTATTCAATAAATTATTTTTAAAAATCACAAACTAATTAAAATTCTCCTGCACCCAGGAGAACACAAAACCAGACTCACCAAAAACATCCAGGAGATTTAGGATAGCCTCTCTCAGAGTTCCTTACCCCAGTATAGCCCTATACAATATAGAAAAGACTTCCTAGCCCCTGGTCCCAATCAGGGGAGAGAAGAAATTGATTTGCATGTCCAGCACCCCAATTCTTCCAGGAAGTTCCCCAGAGGACTGGATTATTGGAGCTCATATCGATCAGTCTGCCACAGTCTAGCTGCTTAGGAGAAAATTAAGGCCCTGGCTTGGGATGGCAGATACTATTGATCCTCCCCTCTGCTCAGCACGTTATCAGCTGATGGAAAATCCCAGTTCTCAGCTTGTGCCTGGGGAGGGAAAGAGTTTGACCCTGACATCCAGCACCACAACTTCTCTGGGGATCCCCTAAAACTAGTATCTGTCTCACTAGTCCTAGAGATCAGACAGTAGCGCAGTCTAGCTATCTGGGAGAGAAGGCAATAGTTGCTTGGGCTCATAGATGCTATTCCCCTGAGGAATTATTGTCTAAAAACTTCTCAAATATGGGAAAGGAAAATCCAGGGAGTCTAAAAGACCCCAAACTAAATGAACTAAAAAAAATTCACACCAAGACACAGAATAATCATATTGTCACAAGTTAAAGAGAAAATTTTGAAAACACCAAGAGAAAAGATGATGGTTGCTGATCTATGATGGTGGTAGCGGGGGCATGGGAAGAATGGTGGAACTTTGGACAGGGCAAGGGGAGGGTGGGAAGGGGTTATGCGGGTAGGAAAGATGGTGGAATGAGATGGACATCCTTACCCTAGGTACACATATGATTGCACAAATGGTATATCTCTGCACCTTGTACAACCAGAGAATTGAAATGTTGCTCTCTATTTGTGTATGATGAATTGAAATACATTCTGCTGTCACGTACAACTAAGTAGAACAAATAAAAATAATAATAAAAAAGGAAAGAAAACAGGATGGTTATGTACACGGGAAAAGAAGAAGGAGGAGGAGAAGAGGGAGGAGGAGGAGGCAGAAGAAGAAGATCCTTTAAACTGAATTTAATTCAACTGACTCAGCCAATCTGTAGAAAGCAAATAAAAATGGGGGTGGGGAGTACTGGGCACTGAACTCAGGGGCTCTCTACCATTGAGCTACACCCCCAGCCCTTTTTATTCTGAGACAGGGTCTCAATAAATTGGAGCCTAACCTCAAACTTGTGATCCTCCTGCCTCAGTCTCACAACTTGCTGGGATGACAAGTGCGCACCAACACACCCAGTTTAAGACAAAGAGGATCTTTAACAGACTTCAAATGTTAATGAAACAGAAGGAAGGTGAGGAAGTTCTGGTTAAAATAATAGACTGTACAATTAAAAGGCTGGTAAAGAGTCTGACATGCATGGAGTGGAGGACCCACCAGATGCCAAGACACACATGCTTCACCGGAAGGATTGTATGTTACAGCCCCTGCATTCATATGTTGAAGTCCTAACTCCCAATGTCACGGAAAGAGACAGAGATAGAGACTAGAGATAGAGATAAAGACTTTAAAGAGATGAATGAGTTAAAATAAGGACATGAGGGTGGCCCCAATCCAATCGGACTGGTGTCTTTATAAGAGGAAATATGGACACACAAAGAGACACCAGATGTGCTCACAAACAGCAAAGGCCAGATGAGGACATAGAGCAAAAGCAGCCATCTACAGGTGTCTTAGTCTGTTTTGTACTACTATAACAGAATATCAAAGACGGGGTAATTTATAAAGAACAAAAATACATTTCTCACGGTTTTGGGCCCTGGGAAGCCCAACATCAAGGTGCTGGCCTTTGGTAAGGGCCTTCTTTCTATATCATCTCATGGCAAAAGGTCAAGAGAGGGAGAGAGAGTATACTCTTCTATTTATTTTATTATTTCATTTTATTTCTTTGCGTTTTTTTTCTTTTGCTCCCACCCCCATACTAGGGATTGAAACCAGGGTGCTATACCACTGAGCCACATCCCCAGTCTGTTTTTTGTTTTGTTTTGACACAGGGTCTTGAAAAGTTGCTGAGGCTGGCCTGCAACTTGTGATCCTCCTGCTTCGGCTTTCTGAGTTGCTGGGATTATGGGTGTGCACCACCATACATGACTCTGTCTTACTCTTACATGAGTCGATTATTATCCTAATTCCCCAGAAGGGACCATATATTAGCATTAGTGTTTCTTCAGAACAGTGAAGACACACTCCCCCAAATTAAAATACAATAGAAAATATTGTGTTTAAACAGGCTTCTTTATTACAGAACTTCTCTGAACTCAAAATACATTTGTCAGTCTCACTAAGATGATTAAGCCACAGATCCTTTTTTCCCCAAATAATTTCAAAGAACTTATGTTTTGGGAAACATTACTTTCAACCATCCTGACATCACTAGTGAGTAGAAGAGGGCAGTCAACCCACAGTGAGCAGCTCAGTGGAAAGTACCAAACCAAAACAGCTGTCAGGCCCTTCAGATTCTAGCCACTTGCCATTGAGAAAATGTGGGAGGGGAAAGGATGAGACACCAGCTAATAGCAACGGATATAACTAACTTTAAAAAGTCAATATTATTGTTTCTAATGTGACCCTGTTTTCAAATCTTTACCTCAAAGCAATCCTTAGAAAGTAGGCTCTAAAATCACTTTCATTTTTATAACTATAAAAGCTAGGGCACAGAGAGGCTAACTATTTTGCTCAAGATCACACACCTAGAAACCAACAGACCAGGAAGATGATTTCCAAGAGCCCTCTAAAATCACAGCCTCGAGCAGAAATAACCTCCAGTAAGCAGCTAGGAATGTTATACCTTTCAGGAAGAAGAACCAGTTATTCTTGGGGTTGAGGCAAAAAAAAAAAAAAAAAGGAAACAGTCCTCCTGAAACTGGGAAGAAACCGAAACCTGGGCTCAAGGTAGAGACAGCTGACCACAGAGACCAACAGAATCACTTGGGGGACAAGCACAAGAATTCAGAGATTTCTCAAGCTCTGTGAGGGGTCAAGAAGATGCATACAGAGAAGTGAGCAGCAGTTGCTCTCCCCCTGGGTAGCAGCAGCAGCAGCTCATGTGTCGAGACAGCAGCAAGTTTCTTGTGAAAACTTCCCTCAAAGAGTTGAGTCCACAAATACAAGTTGTTGCTGTTTTACTTACCACAGTAGGTATAAGCAATGGTTGCATCAGAGGAGCTGCAGGTCCAGTGTTGCTCCTCAGGTTCAGTAAGTATGGAAGAAAACATAGTAGAAAAGAGCATAAATGAAAACATAAAGTCACAAAACCTTAAAAATAAAAAAAAAAAAAAAAAATCGGTAACAAATCATCAGACTCTTCCTTCCAGTAAATAGGAAAAATTTAACTTAGTCATCAGTCACATGATTTCTGAGTTCCTATCCAACTGTTTCCTCTTTCTATGTGCATGTGTGACTGTGTGTGTGTGTGTGTGTGTGAGAGAGAGAGAGAGAGAGAGAGAGAGAGAGAGAGAGAGAGAGAGAGAGAGAGAGGGAGAGGGAGATTAATTGATTTAAGCACTTCCTGCAAGGGGAGAGAGGGAAATGACTTTAATGCACTCTTTTTGAACACTTGATGCAAATTTAAAGCAACCAGAGCTTTAAAAACAACATACTTAAGACACTTGCCAGGCAATAGCAAAGAAACCACCTGTTGAGCTCTTTTTAAACTTCAACAGATGCACTTTTTCCATCTGCATTGTTGTTCTATGGCACAACCTCCACCCTCCCCCACCTCCCCACCCTCACCCTGGGCATTGAACTCAGAGGCACTTCATCTCTGAGCCACATCCCCAACCCTATTTTGTATTTTATTTAGAGACAGGGTCTCACTGAGTTGCTTGGCGCCTCGCTTTTGTTGAGGCAGGCTTTGAACTGGAAATCTTCCTACCTCAGCCCTGCCCCCACCAACCCCTGAGATTACAGGCGGGCGCCACTGCGCCCTGCCCCCACAACCTCTTCTTTCAACAATTTTTGATGGCTCATGGACCTATAGATCGGAACTGAAAATTTTCATGCAAACTATTTCTGCTCAGTAGCAGGTTCAATCACATGTACAGAACCCGCTAGATGACACCCTACAGGGGACACCAGCTGTAGTTCTGAGCTCTTGGTGTGGCCTCACCAATCTTGAGCATGCGCACTCACCTACAACAAATTAGAGCTACGGGGAATTGGTTCGGTTCGATTTGGTACTGTATTGGGAATCCAAGCCAGGACTCTGAGCATGCTAGATAAGTTGCTTTACCCCTGACTTCCACCCAGCCTTCAAGAGAATATTTTGAATTCCAGTAATAAAACGTCAATAGTTTTTGTGTGTCATATGTTTTATTTCAAAACTCACTCTGTTTTAGAAAAGCAGCTATTCTGCTGGGTACTCCTGTAATCCCAGTGACTCAGGAGGCTGAGGCAGGAGGATCGCAGGTTCAAAGCCAGCCTCAGCAAATTAGGGAGATCCTGTCTCAAAATAAAATAAATAAATAAATAAAAAGGGCTGGGGATGTGGCTCAGTAATTAAATGTCCCTGGAAACAATCTCTGGTAACAAAAAAAAAAAAAAAAAAAAAAGGAGGGGGAAGGGGAAAGCAACTACTCCTTTTTGAATTTTTTTTTTTTTAGTTGTAGATGGTCACTATTTATTTATTTACTTATAAATAAATGGTGGTGCTGAGGATTGAACCCAATGCCTCCCACGTGCAAGGCAGGTGCTCTACTATTGAGCTACAGTCCCAGACCCGGCTATTCCTTTTAAATGCTTTGCTGAAGAAATACTTTATAGGGAGTAGTTCAGGGTTAGTAGCCTAACCCTACACAGAGTTGTGGCTTAGAGATCTGCACACATCAGAGGAAAATAATGATATGTTGATTAAAACTTTTGCAATAGAACAGTGATATTTTTCCATTTATAAAAATGCAAAAATCCAGCTGGGTGTGATGCTGCACACCTGTAATCCCAGCTATTCAGGAGACCGAGACAGGAGGATTGCAAGTTCAAGGCCTGCCTGGTCAACTTGTCCTTACCCTGCCCCAAAATTTAAAAATAAATAAATAAATAAAAGAGCCAGGGATGTAGCTCAGGCATTGAGCATACCTGGGTTCAATCCCTAGTACCGCAAAAATAAATAAATAAATAAATAAAATAAAAAAGAAAAACCTTCTGGGAGGAAGGGGAGATGGGACATGGGAAGTTGTCCAATGGGCATAGGGTTTCAGGTTTGCAAAATGAAAAAGTTCTAGAAATTTTTTTGCATAACAATGTGAATATAATTAACACTGTTGAACTGCACATTTAAAATTTATTAAGAAGGTAAAGTTTAGGGGCTGGGTTGTGGCTCAGTGGTAGAGCACTTGCCTGGCATGTGTGAGGCCCTGGGTTAAATCTTCATATAAATAAATAAATAATAAATAAATAAATAAATAAATAAAAGATCCATTTACAACTAAAAAAAAAAAAAGCATAAAAAAAAAAGGGGGCTGGGGTTGTGGCTCAGCGGTAGAGCACTCATCTAGCAGGTTCGAGGCCCTGGGTTTGATCCTCAGCACCACATAAAAATAAACAAACAAAATAAAGGTGTTGTGTACAACTAAAAAATAAATATTAAAAAAAAAAAGAAGGTAAAGTTTATGGGCTGGGATGTAGTTTAGTGATAGAGTACTTATGTGTGAGGCCCTGAGTTTTACCTCCAGTGTTGTAAAAGTTGACAAATTTTATGTTTTATTTTTATCACAATTTTAAAATAAACTTAAAAGATGGAGAGAGGGGAGAGTCCATGAATAACCCCTAGAGAGATTTCCTTTTTTTTTTTTTTTTTTTTTTTTTGGTACTAGGGCTCAAACCCAGGAGTGCTCTACCTCTGAGCTATACCCCCCACTCTTTTTATTTTACCACAGTCTTGCTATTGCTGAGACTGGCCTTGAACTTGCAATCCTGCCCCAGCCTCCTATGACGCTGGGATTACAAGTGTGCATCCTCAAGCCCAGCACCCCCTAGAGATCTTAAAATATTTCCTCCTAAAAGGATCCACAGTTCCTTGGAAAATTTGTCATTCCAGGTCTGGGGCAGAAAATGTACAAAATGAGCCAGGAACATTTTATCTTATTAGTAACCAATTTAAAGATACTCTCCTAACCAAAGATGAGTGTTATTAGTTTCCTACTGCAGCAATAATGAATTTAGTGGCTTAAAATGATACAAATGTATTCTCTTACAGTCTGGAAATCAGAAGTCCAAAATCAGTTTCACTGGACTAAAGTCCAAGTGTTGATACTGAGCCAAGGCTCGCTATCAGAGGCACATGTAAGTCATACTATGGCATCAGTTTTGCAAAAAGAAAACAGTTTATCGTAGGTCCTACAAGGTGACAAGAGTCATGCTCATATCTGTTTCCCTTATTGGCCCACAGAGAAGGAATTCTAAAGGTTGGGGCCTAGTTAGTTTTAACCCTGAGTCCTGGTGGAGTCCTGGTGAAATAGTCCGCCTATATCTAGGTCCAGGAACTTGTGGATACTTTGTAACTGGAAATTTCTCATCTCTCCTTTATTTTGGTTGATCCTGCAACTGCTGATGGCCCTGGCATGGGTCCTCTAGCTCCTGTGCTTGTTCTTCAGTTTCCGCTCACTGGAGACTTGATTCTGCCAGACTCTCAAGGTCATTTTAGATCAGGTCCTAGAGTTCAGCCCCTGGGTCCTGGAATGGTGAAGTTGCCATGTTACGGCCCTGTTTCAGTGTCAGCCGAGCTGGTTCCTTCTGGACACTCTAGGGAGAGGATCTTTTTCTTTGCCTTTCTCAGCCTACAGTGCTGCAGTCCTTGTATCCCCCTCCATCTTCAAAATTCATTCATCCTATTTGTGCTTCCATCAGGCCATTGGCTTCTCCTCTGATCCCCTGCCTCCCTCTTATAAGGACCTTGGATTCCAATGGACCCAGCAGGATGATCCAGTATAACTCAACTCAAAATCCTTAATGTCATCATATCCATAAAATTATTTATTTTATAAAATTATTTTTGTCATATAAAGTAACATTCACATTTTATGGTGATAAGGGCATGAACATCTTATGACATCATTAAATAATCAACCTGTATGACTATAAATACACATACACACACACACATATATATACACTACATATACCATATAGTATATATGCCATAAAGTATACCTGTATGACTACATAAACACTAATGTTTATATAGATAATATAAGTTAGATAATATAATATCTGCAATAAATTGAAATGCAATCAAATACATTTAAGTCCACAAGTTCATAGCATAATTGTTTTCTAATTATTATCAGATACTGCTAGGAAAACAATTCTATTTTTTTTAATATTTATCTTTTAGTTTTTTTAGGTGGACACAATATGTTTATGCTTATTTTTATTTTTATGTGGTGTTGAGGATCGAACCCACTAGTGCCCTGTGCATGCCAGGCGAGTGCCTACCGCTTGAGCCACATCCCCAGCCCAATTCTATTTTTGAAACTAGTTAATAAAGGGAGAGAATCAAGCACTTAGCCTGACTATTCTATACAAAATGAACTACTAAGTAACCAAATAAAGAAGAGCAAGTTTTTCTTAGTTTCTTGTACTCTTTTCTCTACTTTTGGGGGTATTTCTACTAATACATGAAAAAAGGAATGCTAGAATATAATCATTTTGGACTAGGGTTGTGCCTCAGTGGTAGAGTGCTCACCTAGCATATGTGAGGCCCTGGGTTCAATCCTTAGAATCGCAATAAATAAATAAATAAATAATAGCAGATGGAATATATATATATTCATTCATTTGCAACACCTTACTGAATTAGTGCTTTTAGGCATTGAGCATCGGTGGTTGCTAACAACACAAAGAGCAAGCTAAAAAAAAGTTAATAGGGGATGGGACTCAGTGATAGAGCACTTGCCTCACACATGTGAGGCACTGGGTTCAATTCTCAGCATCACATATAAATAAATGAATAAAATAAAGGTTCATCAACAACTAAAAAAAAAAAAAAAAACATTAATGGAAAAACATTGTGGTATCCAGCCTGCCAGATGGCTCTCAATGAGCCTCACCTCCTGGTAAGCACATCAAATACTGAATAAAGTTGACTGTAACCAATAAAGTATCACGCAATGAAAATGTCCTGCAAGACCTTGTAGTTTCCACCTTGTGCTCTTGGTTCACTTGCTCTGGAGGAAGCAAGAAGCCCTAAAGAAAGATCCATGTGGTGAGAAACTGAAGTATCTTGCCAAAAAGCTAGCACCAGTCA